TTGGCATTTGTGGCACTTCCTAGCATACGAGATGCAATCCTTCTCCACAGTGGACCAAAAGTATCCTGCCCTCATGATCTTTCTGGCCATGACCTGTCCAACTATATGGGTACCGAAGGTTCCTTCGTGGACTTCCTTCATTAACGATCGAGACTCCTTCTGACCAATACATCTTAACAAGATGGAATCAAAACTCTTCTTGTACAAGATGTTCTCATGTAGTACGAATCCGATAGCCCTTCGTCTGATTGTTTTCTTGTCATTGTCAAATGCCCCGACTGGGTATTTCCCTTCTTTGATGTATTGATGGATGTCAAAATACCAAGGATGGCCATCTTCCTTTTCCTCCAATGTGCAACAATGAGCTTGTGTCTCATGTCGTCTGATTCTGATGACCGGTATTTCACATACCTCTTTTATAGCAAACATGGATGATAATGTGGCCATCGCATCTGCTAACTGATTCCCCTCTCTCGGGGTATGCTCAAAGTTAATGGATTCAAATTAGGACATCAGATCCTGAACATATGCTCGATAGGGGATTAATTTGTAGTCCTTCGTCTCCCATTCATCTCGTAGCTGGTATATCACCAAAGCTGAATCGCCGTAGACTTCTAGTTTGGTGACTTCGTTATCAAGTGCAGCCTGTAGACCCAATATACAAGCTTCGTATTCAGCCATGTTGTTGGTGCATTCAAAGTCCAACGTTGCCGTCACCGGGATATGTTTTCCTTGGGACGATATTAGTGTGGCTCTTATTCCGTGCCCCATTATATTGGAGGCCCTGTCGAAGAACATCGACCAGGATTCATTTTGACTTTGCTTTTTTGGCTCATCCTTCAAGGTCAATATTTCTTCATCGTGGAATTCCTCCTTGACCATGTATTCGTCCTTGATTGGTCCGTTTGCTAAATGATCGGCCAGGACACTACCTTTGATTGCCTTTTGCGAGACATATACAATATCATATTCTGATAGCAAAACCTGCCATCTGGCAATTCTCCCAACCAGAACAGACTTTTCAAGTAGGTACTTGATAGGATCCATTTTGGATATTAACTGGGTGGTATGTCTCAGCATGTACTGTCTTAGCCGCTGGGTGGCCCACACCAAGGCACAACATGTTTTCTCTAAAGGAGAATACCGAGCTTCGTAATCGGTAAACTTCTTGCTCAAGTAATAGATAGCTCTTTCTTGATTACCAGTCTTGTTTAACTGTCCTAGCATACATCCCATGGAATCCTCCAAGACCGTGAGGTATAGGATGAGAGGTTCTCCTTCAATAGGAGGCATCAATATTGGTGGATTGATGAGACATTGCTTAATCTTATCGAAAGCAATTTGGCATTCTTTATTCCATTCCACGGGTTGATTCTTTCGGAGCAGCTTAAAGATGGGAGCGCATGTGTCAGTCAACTGAGATATGAAACGAGCTATATAATTCACCCTACCAAGAAATCCCCTGACCTCCTTTTCTGTCCTAGGGGGCAGCATTTCTATTATGGCTCTGGTTTTGTCTGGATCCACTTCTATCCCCTTTTCACTAACGATGAACCCAAGGAATTTTCCTGATCGGACTCCAAAAGTACATTTGGTAGGATTTAGCTTTAATTTGTACTTACGAAGCCGATTGAACAGTTTCCTTAGGTGGATAAGATGATCATTTTCATCTTTCAACATAGCAATCATGTCATCTACATACAACGCTACCTCCTTGTGGATCATGTCATGAAATAGGGTTACTATTGCTCTTTGATAGGTTGCCCCTGCAATTCTCAAACCAAAAGGCATCACCCGGTAACAGAAGGTGCCCCAAGGAGTGATGAAAGAAGTATTAAAATAATTATAATAACAAACTAAAAAAATACTCATTATACACAAAATGATATTAAGAGTACATGTATAATGTAAAAAAAATGAATCAATTTTTGATAAGGAGACAAGTTATGTACACTAAGGTACAGTAGCGTACAGATATTGTAAAAAGTTTTAGAGCGATAAATAATATAGATAATTTAATTTTTATTTTACAAATGTATTTATTTAATTATATTATTAGTAATATAATATGCATATTAATTTTTTTTATTATATTATATAGATAAATAAGTTTATATATTAGATTTGTTTATAAGTCTAAATTTAACCTTTTTAAATAAATAAATAATTTTAAAAATTAATTTTTTTATTAAACAATAAATTTTAAACAAATCAAATTATAGTTCTCTATTTAAGATATCACATAATAACAAAAAATAATTACACCAAAATAACAAATTGTTAAAAATTTGTGATAACATATTTTTTTTTTTTGTTAATTAGTTATTAGTAGTTAAGAAATAATTAGTTATTCGATAGAACATTATTATGTAAATACTTACCAATCAATTTAGTTAATTAATAATTGAGTATCTATCTTATTTGTTCTTATTTCTTTTTCTTTTGTCATATGCGCGAAAATTATTAATTGAATATGATTAACTAATAATGACAAATAATATTATATAGTGTTTTTATAAAATGACAACTTGCTAAAATAACAATTACCAATCACTTAGAGTCTTGTTAATCAAATATTGACAGCAATGAATTAATTAATATATATTCATCAATTCAACATAATTAACCAACATTTTCTTAGAACATTTGTTTGTGAGCATTTACCACTGAATGCAAAGAGTTAATAATTGAGTCTTTATAAAAAAAAATCACTTTCTATTATTTTCATTGTGTATGTGAAGCTTATTATTTGAACAAGATTAATTGATACTAATTGAGAGCATAACATCTTGTATGTGAACTTTCATTAATCTATGGGTTGAGTATGCGGAGTTTGAAGGGTTTATTGGACTTGGGTTATTTGCTTTCTTTTTTTTATATTTATAAATATTCATATAATTCATATAATTGTAAACCTAATCAAGAAATACAAAAATATCATCTAGTGAGGTTGTGGACGTAGGTTATTCTGACCGAACCACTTAAATCTATGTGTCTTGTGAATTTACTTTCTCTCTTATAATTGTGCGTGTAAGTGCATTTACGATCTCCAACAATAGGTATCAAGAGCCTAGGGTTTCACGCGAGTGGGAGCAATGACAGAAGATGGAAAAGTGAAGATTGACAAGTTCAATGGGAGCGATTTTGGATTTTGGAAGATGCAGATTGAAGATTATCTATATCAGAAGAAGTTGTACCAGCCTTTCTCCAAGAATAAACTAGAAACGATGTCTTAGACAGATTGGGAGTTGCTAGATCGGCAGGCTCTGGGCGTCATTAGATTGACGCAAGCGAAGAATGTCACCTACAAAATCTTCAATGAGATGACATATGGTTTGATAAAGGCATTATCAAACATGTACGAGAAGCCATCAACATCAAACAAGGTATTTCTGATTCGTCAACTAGTTAATACGAAGATGCGAGAAAGTGCTAGTGTTACAAATCATGTGAATGAATTTGATTCCTTATTGTCAAGATTATATTAAATTTGATGATGAAGTATAAGCCCTATTGTTGCTATCTTTGTTGCCTAATAGTTGGTGAGGATTACAAAATTGACCTTCAAAAGAATTAGAGATTTAATCCTTAGGGAGGATGTTTGTAGGGGAAACGCCGGAGAATCAGCAGGTTCCTTATTAAGCACAAAAGGTAGAGGTAGAAGGCCTAAAAAGGGACAAGGTT